GGCACTGAAGGGAAGGTGGAGTTTGTATGGGTGGGCGGGGCACTGAAGGGAAGGTGGAGTTTGTATGGGAGGGCGGGGCACTGAAGGGAAGGTGGAGTTTGTATGGGAGGGCGGGGCACTGAAGGGAAGGTGGAGTTTGTATGGGAGGGTGGGACACTAATGGGAAGTTGGAGTTTGTATGGGAGGGCGGGGCACTGAAGGGAAGGTGGAGTTTGTATGGGAGGGAGGGACACTGAAGGGAAGGTGGAGTTTGTACCGGAGGGTGGAGTTTGTACGGGAGGGTGGGGCACTGAAGGGGAGGTGGAGTTTGTATGGGAGGGCGGGGCACTGAAGGGAAGGCGGAGTTCAGATTTAAGCACCTGATGTAGGTACCTTCCTGCTTTTCATACATCAGTCCCAGTCTATGGGCACCTATATCCTCTCCTCCTGGTGAAGATATGAATTCCCTAGAATGGGGGGCAGGTCCTGTCAGGTCAGCTGACCCAGACCACAGACCCCTCCCCAAGTCCTCTCTGGGTTCCGGGTGCCCCTTGTCTGAGCTGTAGTTGTGTCCCACCCCCGGGCCTGATTCTGATTGGATGGAGTCAGAGCAGAACAATGTACAATCTGATTGGTTGCTCTACATAAGAATGAGAACTGGTCACTGAGCTCAGAGGGTTCTCAGACTTCCCGTACAATCCATGGAAGGGAATCACATAGAACAAAACATAAACACAACGCATACAATACATCCTTATAAAGTAACAAATCACATCAACTGCAACCTAAAATACACCTCAATACCAATACTGAGCGCCATGTTATAAAGAAGCGGGAACTGCAGGGAAGGTGGCAGTGGTCTAGATGGGATATGATTGGAGGGACCACTGTGGGGACACGTTGGGGAGGTCATACAAGAAGATGGCGGGTGGTATGGAGGAACGAGGAGGGAAATGTCTTCTATGGACACGCTGAGGTCATAGAGGAACATTCTGAAGACTCGGATCATTTCACAGAACTCAAATACCAATCTTGTGTCCTTGTTGTCTCCTCACGGGCGGAGGATGGCTCCTCCAGGTCCTGCGGCCTATGACTTCTTCTTCATGCCACGTACTATGTACCAGTGGGAGATGAAAAGCGGGGGCATTGTCACCATCAGAGCCAAGGTGCCCCCAATTAGAGATTTCTGGAAACAGGTGAGACAGGAAGTGGAATTCAGATCTGCAAGAGACAAGAGGGATCGGAGTGTGAGATATTCACCCAGAGGAAGTAACATGTCAGTTCAGCTTCTATAGCTGGGAAGTGACGCTCTGCAGACGCAGGACGCCATTTGTAGACCCGCAGTGAAGGGCCGGGAACCGGGACCATGGAGAGGAATCCCCTGCAAGCCGGAACGCCGACATGTTTTCCTCCAAACACAGCAATGTGAACCTTCCACTTATATAACAACCTTCCTGTTGTCACTCTGACCTCCTCTCCGATCCAGCACTGGTGACACAACCAATCAGGAGACAGCCCACAATGTGTCACAATGCCTAAGTCATAGTAACCCTACCGGTCCTCCATGTCTGCCTCCAGTCCTCTGTGTTCTCCGTGCTTCTTCATCTGTCTAGAGGTCACTGTACTGCCCACTGGTGCACCCCGTGACTCCAAAGCACCCTGCGTCCTCCAATGACCCCAGAGAATCCCTGTGCACCCCATGACTCCTGTGACTCCAAAGCATCCTGCGTCCTCCAATGACCCCAGAGGATCCCTGTGCACCCCATGAACCAAGTAACCCCAAAGCATCCTGTGTCATCCAATGACCCCAGAGGATCCCTGTGCACCCCATGTACCCAGTAACCCCAAAGCACCCTGCGTCATCCACTGACCCCAGAGGATCCCTGTGCACCCCATGAACCCAGTAACCCCAAAGCATCCTGCGTCCTCCAATGACCCCAGAGAATCCCTGTGCACCCCATGTACCCAGTAACCCCAAAGCACCCTGCGTCATCCACTGACCCCAGAGAATCCCTGTGCACCCCATGAACCCAGTAACCACAAAGCCTCCTGCGTCATCCACTGACCCCAGAGAATCCCTGTGCACCCCATGAACCCAGTAACCCTAAAGCACCCTGCATCATCCACTGACCCCAGAGAATCCCTGTGCACCCCATGAACCCAGTAACCCTAAAGCACCCTGCGTCATCCACTGACCCCAGAGCGTCCTTGTGCACCTTGAGACTTTAGTAACCCCAAAGCACCCCTGTATAACCTGTGACTGCCAAGTGCTGTAAACCCTTGGTTCTCAACTGGTGGGTCTTGACCCAAAAGTGGGTCGCGACCCCTTATTCAGTGGGTCACCGCATGCCATCCACTTTTCTAGATGAGGCTCCCCAGCCTCCCCCAAGCGCAGCGCTGTCAGTTCTCGGGCCAAGCAGCCATTCAAAATATGCTGCCCGGTGCCGAGTGTCACCTTGAGGTGGGGTGGGGTGGGATGGGGCTATGGCTTCATCCATATGTGCATTGCTTGCAGCTCCCTCGCGTGCCTTGCAGAGGTGCCTGGACCGGAGTGATGTGCTATTCTGGCACCTCTAGGGCATGCAAAGGAACTGTACAAGCAATATGGATGGAGCTCCAGCACAGCAGCCCACACTGGACCCCAGGCTGAGGATCCACTGTAGTTCTCAGAAGGTAGGGAGACTATCTTATGAGAACTGCGTCAATGGAATGCCGTGCGTTCCATTGCAGTGCAACTCGGGTCACGACTTAATGGTGAAGGACAAATGTGGGTCCTGAGGTTACACCGGTTGAGAACCGCTGCTGTAAACCTTCTTAAAGCAGCAATTGTACCACAAGCGAGGTCCGCTTATTTACTGAGGTCCCCTGCCCCCCGAGGTAAAACAAAAACTGCATTGAATGTTAAACAAACCTGTGTGGGGAAAGTTACCGTACTTACCTTTCCTCCGGCTTTTGTACTGCAGAGAGTGACGTCACCACCCTTCCGACAAGAACCTGAAGGACGGCGAGTAGCTGAAATCTCCGGGGATGACATTCCAGGACTGTGCGAGGGGGTCTACTCCGGAGATGTGGGCTACTCACCACCCTGCTTTGGAGACAAATATCAACGTATAGCAGCTGCTCTTCCATTTTAACACCTTTCATGAATACTTCTGCGCCACGCCGGAGGTAATCTTCCTATAATCTCCTGAACATTTCCAGATTTCAATGACGCGACTCTGTATCTGTAAATAAAAGTCTCCTAAATCACCTTTCTTCCCCATTCTAACGCTCAATTTCAACTTCAGCAGATCCAGTTGCTGCCATGTGATTGGCTGATTAAAAATTTGCATCAACGAGCGGTTGAACAGATGTACCTAATAAACCTAATAAAGTGACCAGTGAGGGTATATATATATATATTGTTCTACGGGACTGCGTGATTTACCGATCAGAGTAGAGATAGGATAAAAGAACTGGACTGTGTGTGTGTTTTGGGGGGGACATTGAGCAGAGAGTCAGTCTAGAAGGATAGAGAGAAGCATGTGAGTGTAAGGAAGGACAGGGAGCAGAATGTGGGGAAGGAAAGGGAGCAGAATGTGGGGAAGGACAGGGAGCAGAATGTGGGGAAGGACAGGGAGCAGAATGTGGGGAAGGACAGGGAGCAGAGTGTGAGGAAGGACAGGGAGCAGAGTGTGAGGAAGGACAGGGAGCAGCATGTGGGGAAGGACAGGGAGCAGAGTGTGAGGAAGGAAAGGGAGCAGAGTGTGAGGAAGGACAGGGAGCAGAGTGTGGGAAAAGGACAGGGAGCAGAATGTGGGGAAGGAAAGGGAGCAGCATGTGGGGAAGGACAGGGAGCAGAATGTGGGGAAGGAAAGGGAGCAGAATGTGGGGAAGGACAGGGAGCAGAATGTGAAGAAGGACAGGGAGCAGAATGTGGGAAAGGACAGGGAGCAGAATGTGGGGAAGGAAAGGGAGTAGCATGTGGGGAAGTATTAAAGGTGATGTTATGGGAGTGATCTCCGTCATGTAAATCCCCATTCACTGTCCATTTATAAGTGACATCGTGATCCTCCTCTAACACACAGGAGACACTGGCACTTCCATCAGCATGACAAGAGACATTCACGTGGGGTGTAGAGAGGGGAGCTGAGGAGACATCCAATATACTTACACAGGGAGCGAAGGATGAGTATGAAAAAAGAAAGGGTGTGAGGAAGGACAGAGTGTGGGGAAGGACAGGGAGCAGAATGTGAATGAACAATGTTGGAGAACTGACCCGATATCGGGGAATATGGGGACATCAGGAATTCTTCAACATCAATAGTTATATCTATCAGGCGGGATGTAAAGTGCAGTCAGAGGAAGGATGAGGATATCAGACATCTTCAGAGGTATGAACTGTCCTACTGATCACCAGAGGAGCTGATTGGTGGCTTCCTGACACATCCAGCTACAGAGCGGAGGAAAGGAGCAGAGTGCGAGGAATTGTGCTAAACGGGGGATTTCCCAAAACCATTTCAATGTGATTCTAATGATAATCAGCTTATGTAAATATATATCATCCAACATATAAATACACAAATCAATAGAAAAAATAATTTTCCATAATGGTGTAAACATAATAAAGTGTCCCAATATTGCAAAAAGTCTTTTTTTTTTATCCACCAGTTACCTGAGACCTCATTTATCAAAGTCCTATAACAAGCAAAACCTCCAACCATGTGATCGGAGCAACTCACCAGACTGAACTGAGCACTAAATCAATAGTTTTGGATGGCAGTGAGCTCTATATTGTTGGTTCTTAGCAGACAATGGATGGCAGTGAGCTCTATATTGTTGGTTCTTAGCAGACAATGGATGGCAGTGAGCTCTATATTGTTGGTTCTTAGCAGACAATGGATGGCAGTGAGCTCTATATTGTTGGTTCTTAGCAGACAATGGATGGCAGTGAGCTCTATATTGTTGGTTCTTAGCAGACAATGGATGGCAGTGAGCTCTATATTGTTGGTTCTTAGCAGACAATGGATGGCAGTGAGCTCTATATTGTTGGTTCTTAGCAGACAATGGATGGCAGTGAGCTCTATATTGTTGGTTCTTAGCAGACAATGGATGGCAGTGAGCTCTATATTGTTGGTTCTTAGCAGACAATGGATGGCAGTGAGCTCTATATTGTTGGTTCTTAGCAGACAATGGATGGCAGTGAGCTCTATATTGTTGGTTCTTAGCAGACAATGGATGGCAGTGAGCTCTATATTGTTGGTTCTTAGCAGACAATGGATGGCAGTGAGCTCTATATTGTTGGTTCTTAGCAGACAATGGATGGCAGTGAGCTCTATATTGTTGGTTCTTAGCAGACAATGGATGGCAGTGAGCTCTATATTGTTGGTTCTTAGCAGACAATGGATGGCAGTGAGCTCTATATTGTTGGTTCTTAGCAGACAATGGATGGCAGTGAGCTCTATATTGTTGGTTCTTAGCAGACAATGGATGGCAGTGAGCTCTATATTGTTGGTTCTTAGCAGACAATGGATGGCAGTGAGCTCTATATTGTTGGTTCTTAGCAGACAATGGATGGCAGTGAGCTCTATATTGTTGGTTCTTAGCAGACAATGGATGGCAGTGAGCTCTATATTGTTGGTTCTTAGCAGACAATGGATGGCAGTGAGCTCTATATTGTTGGTTCTTAGCAGACAATGGATGGCAGTGAGCTCTATATTGTTGGTTCTTAGCAGACAATGGATGGCAGTGAGCTCTATATTGTTGGTTCTTAGCAGACAATGGATGGCAGTGAGCTCTATATTGTTGGTTCTTAGCAGACAATGGATGGCAGTGAGCTCTATATTGTTGGTTCTTAGCAGACAATGGATGGCAGTGAGCTCTATATTGTTGGTTCTTAGCAGACAATGGATGGCAGTGAGCTCTATATTGTTGGTTCTTAGCAGACAATGGATGGCAGTGAGCTCTATATTGTTGGTTCTTAGCAGACAATGGATGGCAGTGAGCTCTATATTGTTGGTTCTTAGCAGACAATGGATGGCAGTGAGCTCTATATTGTTGGTTCTTAGCAGACAATGGATGGCAGTGAGCTCTATATTGTTGGTTCTTAGCAGACAATGGATAGCACTGAGCTCCATATTGTTGGTTCTTCATGGACAGTGTATAGCAGTGAGCTCAATATTGTTGGTTCTTCATGGGCAATGGATGGCAGTGAGCTCCATATTGTTGGTTCTTCATGGACAGTGTATAGCAGTGAGCTCCATATTGTTGGTTCTTCATGGACAATGGATGGCAGTGAGCTCCATATTGTTGGTTCTTCATGGACAGTGGATAGCAGTGAGCTCTATATTGTTGGTTCTTAGCAGACAATAGATGGCAGTGAGCTCCATATTGTTGGTTCTTCATGGACAATGAATAGCAGTGAGCTCCATATTGTTGGTTCTTCATGGACAATGAATAGCAGTGAGCTCCATATTGTTGGTTCTTCATGGACAATGAATAGCAATGAGCTCCATATTGTTGGTTCTTAGCAGACAATGGATACCAGTGAGCTCCATATTGTTGGTTCTCAGCAGACAATGGATGGCAGTGAGCTCCATATTGTTGGTTGCAAGATCCGAATATCTACCTAAATGTATGATCCAAGAGGCCGTCTGATAAGACCACATGGCTGAGCGTCCCAGGGTTAAACCTTAGAGAAGTCCAAACCCAGGTCAGTATTTAAGATATCTGAATATAATTTTTATTATAATTTTGTGGTTGAGAATGAGTAGATGTGCATACCGGAACAGCAGAAGACTCATTAGAGGGTCAGTGGTATATGTGTGGGAATTGCTGGTTGATTTTGTCCAAATAAACCTCCAGCGTGTATCTTTATGTAGGATGGCAATCCAATGTTTATGAAGGCTTCCTGTGTAGCTAGCATGAGGCAGAATACAGATCCATTTATATTTTGTTGTATATAAGTGTTAGGGAACCAAGAAACCAGAAAGAAACGTAAAGTGCGGGTTAAATATAGGTGTTTATTGAAAATAACGATAGAGAAAAAGGCAAAAAACAATGGAGAAAGTCCAGGACATTGTCGGTGCCAAGCCAGAGGTCAGATGCCAAAGAGGGTAATCAGCCGAATCGGGTCAGGAAACACTGAGAGCAGGATGAGCAGAAACAATAGCCGGAGTCCGGAACCAGATCAGTCAGCCAGAGCCAGGGTCATACATGGAGAACAGAAATATCAGCAGAGCACTTGGTAGATCTGAACACACGCAAGGGCGGGAGACTGAATGGACACGCTGTTGGTTAGTGAACTGGTGTTTGCATCATCACTCTGAGACAGGAAGGTGCCATGAGTTTCTCAGTGGTTGCAGAATGTGGTTTACGGGTTTGTCATAAGTCAGTGAGCTCCATATTGTTGGTTCTTCATGGACAGTGTATAGCAGTGAGCTCCATATTGTTGGCTCTTCATGGACAGTGTATAGCAGTGAGCTCCATATTGTTGGCTCTTCATGGACAGTGTATAGCAGTGAGCTCCATATTGTTGGTTCTTCATGGACAGTGTATAGCAGTGAGCTCCATATTGTTGGTTCTTCATGGACAATGGATGGCAGTGAGCTCCATATTGTTGGTTCTTCATGGACAGTGGATAGCAGTGAGCTCTATATTGTTGGTTCTTAGCAGACAATAGATGGCAGTGAGCTCCATATTGTTGGTTCTTCATGGACAATGAATAGCAGTGAGCTCCATATTGTTGGTTCTTCATGGACAATGAATAGCAGTGAGCTCCATATTGTTGGTTCTTCATGGACAATGAATAGCAATGAGCTCCATATTGTTGGTTCTTAGCAGACAATGGATACCAGTGAGCTCCATATTGTTGGTTCTCAGCAGACAATGGATGGCAGTGAGCTCCATATTGTTGGTTGCAAGATCCGAATATCTACCTAAATGTATGATCCAAGAGGCCGTCTGATAAGACCACATGGCTGAGCGTCCCAGGGTTAAACCTTAGAGAAGTCCAAACCCAGGTCAGTATTTAAGATATCTGAATATAATTTTTATTATAATTTTGTGGTTGAGAATGAGTAGATGTGCATACCGGAACAGCAGAAGACTCATTAGAGGGTCAGTGGTATATGTGTGGGAATTGCTGGTTGATTTTGTCCAAATAAACCTCCAGCGTGTATCTTTATGTAGGATGGCAATCCAATGTTTATGAAGGCTTCCTGTGTAGCTAGCATGAGGCAGAATACAGATCCATTTATATTTTGTTGTATATAAGTGTTAGGGAACCAAGAAACCAGAAAGAAACGTAAAGTGCGGGTTAAATATAGGTGTTTATTGAAAATAACGATAGAGAAAAAGGCAAAAAACAATGGAGAAAGTCCAGGACATTGTCGGTGCCAAGCCAGAGGTCAGATGCCAAAGAGGGTAATCAGCCGAATCGGGTCAGGAAACACTGAGAGCAGGATGAGCAGAAACAATAGCCGGAGTCCGGAACCAGATCAGTCAGCCAGAGCCAGGGTCATACATGGAGAACAGAAATATCAGCAGAGCACTTGGTAGATCTGAACACACGCAAGGGCGGGAGACTGAATGGACACGCTGTTGGTTAGTGAACTGGTGTTTGCATCATCACTCTGAGACAGGAAGGTGCCATGAGTTTCTCAGTGGTTGCAGAATGTGGTTTACGGGTTTGTCATAAGAGGGCGCGAAAGAGGATCAACAGTGTCAGACACACTGCAACAGAAACCAGGCTGCGGCCCAACTAGACAAGGAAGGGTAAGGAACCCGGACAAGATTGCTGCATTTGATGAAAACAAATTTCGGGAGCAGATACTTTACTCAAAAGGTGTTCTACATTCTTCAGTTGGCAGGTGCACACCAACGTGGACTTCTCTTCTTCCAAACAAAAACTCCTTTGGCATGATATTGTGAAAAAGCTTTATTAAAAACTAGTTTACTTGATGCATAAACTGAAACCACAATTGACGGAAGCCTTTGAGTCAACCATTACTTCAAGGAACTCCAGTCGGCCATTAAAAGGCACGAATATGGGCAAGGCACCGGGTCCTGATGGCCTAATCCTACTATAGAAAAAAAAGAACCTTCCTCATGGTGAAGGAGGGTAAAGACCCTTGTCTCTGCTCCAGCTACTGCCCAGTATCCCTCCTTAATATTGATCTTAAATTATATCGTCATAAATCGCTTTCTCCTTCTTACACCTTCCCTAATCCATCATGACCACGTGGGTTTCCTACCCTTGAGGGAAGCAAGAGACACTGTCATCAAAGTTCTCAACCTCGCCCACCGTGCCAGTTTCACAGCCACCCGCTGTCTCTTTTTGGCTATGGATGCGGAAACGTCCTTTGACTGGGTCAGTTGGCCTTTTGTGGTTACATGGATGGCAGTTTTGATTTGAAGAACATCGTTGTTGGTTGACGTCGGTAAGGAAGGTCACAGATCTTTCGTGGACAACAAAACACTCCTGTTATTCCAACAATAGCACCAAGCAGCGGGATTGACCTACACATGTTGGAAAAGACACAATGTCCTGATTCTGACTGATGATGATGATGATTCTGACTGATGATGGATGATGGATGATGATTCTGACTGACGACGACGACGACGACATGAGAAGTGGACATTGGTTGCAGAAGAACATCAGAAGTTTGGGAACCAGAGGAAGCCAAGAAAAAGCTTTGTGGAGCACGGTCTAATCTGCTGCAACTATGAAAACATTTTCTTCTTGATCCCCAAAGGCAATCTGAGAACTTCCACAATCATCATTCTAATATATTCCTTATAATTGATCAATTCTAAAAACAGAAAATGTCTTCCTGTACTCCTGTGGTTTGGGTGGTTGTGAAGCTGCATGAGCACACTTTGTTTGAGATTCATATCGCAGACATTGGCTGATATTCTGCTGTAGAAGTTCCTGATATGATTGGAAATTCATCGATTGCTCGGTGATCCCAGAGGGTTGTAAAAGGAAACTTGGATGTTGCCACACAGAATTGTACCAAAACTGTTCATATATTCAGACGTCATTACCGCATTCAACCCGAAGACGGATGGAAGCAGAGCGGCCCCAACTGGCCATGGAAAGGAGAGACCTTTGTTATCATCACCAATTAAACTGCAAAATTGCTAATCCACTCGTTATCTCTCGTCTTGACTATTGCAACTCCCTCCTCATTGGCCTTCCACAGCACAGGCTCCTCCCCCCTTCAGTCTATCATGAATGCAGCTGCCAGACTCATCCACCTAACCATCATCAGTGAATGGGATGACTGAAGCCTGGCTTCCAATAGCCCAAAGGATAAAATTCAAAATATTAACAATGACTTACAAAGCCGTCCACAACTCCGCCCCCGTCTATATCTCCAACCTCGTCTCAAAGTATCACCCTAACCGTCCCCTCCGCTCATCCCAAGACCTCCTGCTTTCCAGCTCCCTCGTCAACTCCTCCCATGCTCGCCTCCAGGACTTCACTAGAGCCTCTTGTGATGGACTGCACCGTCACTGTGCTAGTTGGAGGGGGCTGCAGACTGGCCTCTTACCCACCGATTATGGCCCAGCAAGAGAACAGGAGATTTTGAGGCTAGATGTACATTTTATATTTTCCCTCCTCATGTATCACTGGCCCCTCCCCTTTTAGACTGTAAGCCCTCAGGGGCAGGGCCCTCCTTACCATCTTGTCTTGAATTGTATTGTGATTGTAATGTCTTTCTTATATTGTAAAGCGCTGCGCACGCTGTTGGCGCTCTATAAATTCCGTATAATAATAATAATATTAGAGGTGGATCTTCTTATATCAGCATTGACATGGAGATCACATGACTTTGGTTGTAAAGAAAGGGTCATTAATCAGCTTGTTTATCAACCAATCCATTGAGCACCATGTTGGCTGTGACATAGATGGTTAGAAAACAAAGTCATGTGATTTGGCCGAAGCAATCAACACGGTAAACTTTGACCAACACAAAGAAAAAATTCCCTCCCGGAGTTCAGCTGTCGACTGCACAGAAGTATCGGGTGCTCGTTGACCGAGCGCGTCTCCACTCCAAACTGTTTACTCCCAAGATTCTCTGGAATACATCAACATGCAGAATGAGCCATTTCTATCACAGGAACTTATTGTTCCCAGATAAGGTGCAATGGCTTCTTCCTTCTCACCGAAGAGGTTATCTGAGTCTACCAGAGCCCAGCGCTATAACACTCACTCCTAACATTAAATTGAGCCTTCCCACCCCCAATCATCAGAATACAGTAATGACTTCACAATCTGCTCCAAACCTTCTCTCTGCAAAATGTGCAACCGAACAAGACCGGACAGCACTGTAACTGATATGAGAATTCTGACTTTTGGGCATCGGTGGCGCATGAGCATTACAGGAAGGACAAAGGGTTCTTTGAGGCGTGGGCTGGCAGGTTGGCTTCACCTTCTTGGAGTTGTGTGAGAGGCAAGATGGCGGCACCCATATGGGGGAATATTGAGATCTTTGGGGATGGACTAGAACATACATTTTGTTCACTTGTTATGTAGCTGTGAGTTCTTTATATATGAATAGTTTATATTTCACATCTCTCTCTGTAATTGTTGGCAAAGGAAAATGTTACTTTAAAGCTCATGTAGGGACAAATAATAACTTCCTCCCATCCCCCTCCAACCCATCCGGCACATTTTGAATTTTTCTTCACTTGGTGAACCATGTTATAGTCACCTAAGTCCGCCATTCAGGCCCCTCCCCTGTGTCATTTCCGGGTGCAGGAGACCGCTAATCCAGTGCTGCAGCACCTGACAATCTCTTCACACTGAAATCACTTCTCTTCTGAATTCTGACAGGAGCCCACCACTGGAAGCCAATAGGATGTGATGCAGGCAGTGTGTGGGCCCCCAAAGAAGGACCCCACCTCTTGTAAACAGAAGAGGAGAGAAAACTCGGGATTGGAGTGTCAGGTGACCACGGCTTTAGGTTGGTAATAAGATCCTTTAGATAAGTTCTCTTTTTCTAATGCCAGCGATCAGTTTGGGATATTTGTCCGGAGATATTTAACATCAACCCAAAACCCAACCAAACCATAACCGGAAACATAACTCCATCCTAACCTTCCAAGCAGAGATGACACAGCCCCGGTGCTGTATTATAATGATGAGGAACACCACACTGGTATATACAGAGGTAAAGGACACACGTCACTCACCTGGACAAGGCTCACGGATCTCATTGGTGGATCTCTCACCGATATTGTTCTTCACCAAGCAGCTGATGTTCCAGGAATCGGGAGGTGACACCGGAGGCACAGTGACACGGACTGTCCGCTCTGAACTGGTGACGTTATATCCCTCCGATCCTCCAATCACAGTCAGGAAGATGGAGAGGTCAGTCCCCTTCTCCACCCTACAGGAGATCTCAGAGCTGCCATTGTGGAGACACGTCACTTCCAGGACCGGATCCGATACCGGAACTGAGACACACAGAGAGGGGGAGATGTCAGTGTCTGTGTCAGGAACTGAATTAAGGTTTCTCACCCCAAATACTGAATAAGACCCATCTAGAGACAGATCAACCGGCCACACCAAACTGGAAGTGGCAGATCTCAGGGATCCATGGAGGCCGGATGTTCAGTTCCAACTAGGGAAGCACCAAAATTCCGGCCACCGAAACATATGGGCCTAAAACGGCACTTTTGGCAAAATGCGGAAAGTGCCATGTTTTGGCCGAAACTGCGGTGCATCCCTGGTTTCTCTCCTACCCGCTGGGCGCTGCTCTGTGTCCCCTCTGACAGAGCGCAGCGTCCAGCGCGGAGGAGAGAAACTGTCACAGGAGGCCAAGTAGTGCGGGTGAGGAGGGCGATGTAAGCGGCCGGGTCCTGCCCCGCTCAGCCTCCTGTGACAGATTAGGAGAGCGGCGGTGTGGGGGCGGAGACAGCTGTCAGCTGTCACAGGAGGCCGGCGGTACAGGGCAGGAGTAAGCTGTCAGAGGAAATCAAGCTCTCCTTCCCGCAGGGGAGTGCCGGTACAACCCTTTCGCTGCCAAGCCCCCTGGAATGCTTTTACACCTTAGCTGGCCGCAGCATTTTTGCAATTGTTCCCATTGTGTTGATCCTCTATTGCTCTGGATAGGAGGAGCCAGCTGTCAATCACGCAGCTGGGTGGATACAGACAGTAATGTCGGGATCCGTCCGGCTGCGGCGTCTCAGTATACCGCGAGCTGTAGCTCCCTACATACTGAGGCTAGGGTGACAGGAGGACGCTAGTTTGTGTCCTCCCGTTACCCTAAGGAGAACAATGGGGGAAAACACTGACCCCGTAGTTCTCCTTAAAAATCATTTGTGCGCTGTGGTGGTGTGTGTGTTGTAATAAAGTGATACAGGTGTATATTTAACTGCAACACAGCGTATCACAACGCACGGCAATGCGTCACAATGCTCCGCCATGCGCTGCCACAGTTAAATTATTGTTATTTTAAAAAGAGAAAAGAGTCAAGCACTGCGCTGTGTTCTAACAACGCACTGCAGCGCATGTGCATAGCGTACACCACAATATGGGCGCACTGTTGCATGTGTATAATGTGTGTGTGGGGTGGGTTGTGTTTTATGTTTTTAATTCATTTATTTTACTGTTGGGGGGCTTCTGGGAAATATTGGAGGTCTGAACAGACCCCTGACATTTCCCTTTTTGAAATAGAAAAATAAATTGAGGACACAGAGCCCCCAAACTATTTTTCTGCAGCCCCTGTTCTAAATGAATGGAAAGCTCTCAGTACAGAGGCTTCCTATTCATTCACTAACTGCAGATAGTAAATATTTCCTATCAATCAGTCATGAATGGATAGAAGCCTCTGTAGTGAGCTGCTTCTGCCCATTCAGAAATTCATGAATGAACAGGAAGTGGTGTAAAGCACTTCCTGTTCATTCATAACTGGGGATACATAGTACTTTGTGTCCCCAGTTGTTTACAAACATTGAAGTGATCAGCTGATCTCTACAGTGTTTGTGCTGCACACAGAGGATCGGTAAATATTACACATATGTACCGGTCCTCCGCTCTCCATCCTATACTGCTCAGCCACGTACAGAGGTGCACGGCCAGAATCTGACAGCTGGTGGCTTTCTCTTCCTTCACCACTCGGCCATCCTGGATGACAGCTCTCTTCCCCCCACCCCGGCTTCAGAGCTCTGTTTCTCATCAGATCTCGCTGCTTCTGCCCATACAGGCGTGGGAGAGCAGTGGGGATCTGAGGAGAAACAGATCCCAGCATTGAGCAGCTCTGGGAGGGAAGGAGAGGGCAGGTGCAGCTGGCAGATGCCAACGGCGGCGGTAGCGGTGGCTGAATTTTAATGATTAGCTCTCATCAGCGGATGACAGCTATTATTTTACAGGGGACCGTTATGATATAAGCTCATGGTTGCTAAAGTGACCCTGAGCTTATAACAGAAAGGTGAAAGCCACCGATGTAAGGCTTACTGACGTGGCCAGCTGCAAGCGGTTGTATTCCGCCGTAAGCCCTACGTCGGTGGCAGCGAAAGGGTTAAACATTCTATATGTTTTTTGTTTTCTATTGTGAATAAAATTTGGGTTTATGAGATTTGCAGATTTGCAGATGCTGTAAAATTTGCAGATTTTACAGCATCCAAACATTTTTGGAATTGGGGTTGTATATGATGATGGCACAGATCACCCATAAGGCCGTGCACCAAATCTATATGTCCCGCTATCAGCTATTGTCCAATCACTGACTGGAGGATGGCCGGTGGAGGAGATCATAGCGGTCACTACATGAGAGACACTGAACACGGCGTCATTACCAATCACGTCATTCTCATTGTTATGAAGAATTTTCTGCTTCTCGTTTCTACAATTATAGACAATGTAACCGATCCGACATTCCCAAATCCGACATCATCCCATTATTATTATTATTATTATTATATCCGAGTCCTTTGTGTTAGGATGTAAATATAAATCTCTGGACCGGTCTCTCTCTCCCACTCACCTGTACAGGAGATATTGATAGATGTGCTGAGATTATTGATCTGATTGGTGACATCACAGCGGAGGGTCCCGGAGACCGGAGGAGGAAGAGTTACCCGGCTCTCTTTGGATTTTGATTCTTCATTAAATCTCCAGGAGTAACAGGGATCCGATCCTCTCACTGAACAGACGGCCTCTGCACTGCCATCCGGGAGACAGGAGGAGCTCACAGCGATGTCGGAGAGGGGGACTGGGGGGGACACAATTCAAGGATATGATTGGTCAGAGCAATGACATAGAAACTCAGACTTATCACAATGAGGGTTATTCATAAAAAGGGGAGGAGTTTGGAGATGTGAACAATCTAGGCCAAATAAATTATCCAATTCAGCGATGTTGTCCTAGAATGTTCACTTCTCCAAACTCCTCCCATTTTATGAATGATTCTATGGAAATATGGAAGCTGCCAGTACTACACTCTTCTTCTGACAGCGCCAGTTACCTGGTTGTCATGCCGAGCCTCTGACTACACTAGACACTGACATGAAATGAATATGTAGCTTGGGATCTCTGACTTTGCTCTGACTTCACTTGATGCACGCTTGTTCTGGAGCAGAGATAAACAATCTACAGATAGTGATACCAGAGACAGCCAGGAAAGTAGCATTAGGTGCAGGTCAGCAGTGACGTCCCGGTGTTTCTAACCCTCGCCCACAATATTGTATTTTATAGAGCAAAGAGTAATGGGAGGGCTCAGTGTATACAGGTGCGGAGGTACATGGACTCCTGAAGAGACATTGTGTCGGAGTATTGGCATAAGTGGCAACTGTCGCGGATTATCTGGGACATTCCCACATGTTGGTCCTCAGGCCTGATGATGCCGTGTCCTGGTTGCTGTCCCGGGATCGCAGGGTCACCCTCATTTGAGTTATGGGCACGGCACATGGGCAGTAACTCAATAAGCCATTTATTACAGTGATTGGGGGCAGTGAGTGGGTGGTTGCTGCGTAATTAGAGGTGGGGTTTGGGTGGACGACTCCAAGAGGTGGGTGGGATTTGAGCTGGACCACCCAGGTACAGGATGGGGTTTGGGAATGACCGCCTGGTCACTGGGCATGCTTAAAGCAAACTGTGGGTGGGGTTAACTGTGCCCGGGGGACCAGGACTGAAGAGTTGGTAAGTAGTATATATATATATATACTGAGATATAAAGAGAGTTCCCAGTGTCTCAGAGTGAAGTTCTCGGCACCAAGAACAAGTATAAACCCAGCAAATCCCCTGACTGTCCTACAGTGTCCTCAACACCAACCGTTCCCTGCCTGGACCCTGAACACCTAGCCGCACCTTCAAGGAGCCCCCCCACCTGCAATTCTTAACCCAACCATCACTTTATCCTCCCCCCAACACTGTAATAACAGTACATTCTACAGGAACATTACACAGCCATTCCACTGCTTTACCCCTCACCGCTGACTCAAATGAGTGAACAAAGGGAGAGAAGAGGTCCTGGTCGTATGACCTGTGAAAATCACATGACCGGCTCTCCTCCAATCCTTGTATTGCATTGAGCAGAGGGTACTCCATGGGGCACCGCAGGCTCCACACCACGGCCTGCATTGTATGAATGGGCTGTATAATGCAGGCTGCTGTGTGCGTAGTAATATCTGTCCTCCATTATAAATTGGACCCTTAAACTCTAACATGAGCCCCTCCCCCAAACCCCCCAAACCCTCATCCCTTCACATATGTCCTAAGGGGAATGTATAGTGTTTTATATAGATTTATTTTTTATGGTCAGCTCAAAAACAATAAAACATATCAGATAAATCTATAAATACGGCATATATATCATATTCTCTATTTCAGTCAGTAGGTGGAGCTATCTGCTTTGCTCCTCCCCTTCAGAGCAGTGACTCCGCCCCCTCCCACTTGCTCTGTTTACATGGCTCTGTGCAGAGTCCTCTGATCTCTCCTCACCTGGACAGGTGACCTCGGCTCTGCTCATCTCCAACCGGCTGACCCGATTCTCCACAGAACAGGTGATGTTCCAGGGCCCCGGTGACCCCACAATGGCTGTAATGTGATTGGATGAAGCAGAATAACTCCCCGGGGATCCTCCAATCACAGATACACGGATATCCGGCTTAGTTCCTTCCTCCACCCTGCAGGAGATCTCAGCGCTGCCATTCCGGAGACATGAGACATTCAGGACCGGAACCGATACTGGAACTGAGAGAGGCAATCATTTCCATTGATAAGGTCCAATATACACACACAGCATGTTCCCACCTCCATCCCGACCTATACACAGGTGTGCTGACATCTTCCTGGACTCTGTGTGTGTGCACGTCCCCACCACAAACACAATGACCCGCACTAACATCAAATCTATATTCCTCAGTCATGTGACGGCCCATACACAGCGCTAAGACAATCTCATCTGGCCAATCGGCTCTCAGAACATTGTATACTGTACATGGTGTGGCAGGACGGTGCCGTGTCAGGATGGTGATTGGTGTATTCGGCGGAGGGGCTGAGAGGGTCCAGGACACATGTAGTGTGGCAGGGAAGGAGCTGGGTTTCCGGTTCTTTCCGGGTTTTCTGGAGTATAACTGGGATCCGGGTCTCTGGAGATTTCTAAGAGTCTTGGGTCGGGATGTAATCTCCAGTCCTGGGGCCGGGTGCAGCCAATTGCCAGGCCGGACTGTCCAGGTGGCTGATAACAGCCCTATGAAGAGACGGGACGGAGAGAGGAAGGGGCAGTCAGTGGGGCAATTGTACATGCAGAGTGGGAGACTGTGTGCATGTGACACTGGAGTATGGCTGGAGAGGCCAAAAGGGTCTGTGGCCCACGCGGTGTGTTCCGAAAGGTCAGAAGGACCGTCCGTCGTCCCAGGGGAAAGTGAAGCTGCTGTGTGTCTGGCCAGGAGCAGGCCGAGGCTCTAACCCTGAGGTGGGAGTTGAGGAGGAAGTGTAGAATACAGATCACAGTCAGGTCGCAGGGCCGTGTACACTCCGCTCCCTCTCATATAACCATCTGGAATCTCATGAGACTCATCAATACGAAACACAACCCAATACCAGTGCTGAGATGAATGTTCCCGGGATCGGTTCGGGGCGGAATCACTGAACAGATCACAAGTTCTGAAATTCAACCTGAACCCGCTGAAGTCAATGGGAGATGTTTTGTTCCGGGTGTAAAATAATAGAGATATACTCACCTGAACCTCGGTCCTGAATGGCTGCTAGACTGGTCCCTGCAGCCCGTCTCTCCCTAGGGCTTAAAGATATTGGTGACATGGAGTGCACTGTTCCCCTCGGTCTCCTCCCTGCTATTTTTTTTTTTTGGGGGGGTTTCAGTGGCGTCACTAGTGACCCCAGGGCCCCATGCAATACCCCATGTCACCTTCGTTGATACTTCCAGCTCCCTGTCTCGGTCTCCCCCTTCGTGTACGCAGCACTCGGCATTCGGCGGCAGTTCTGTGTGATGAGGGGGCGGGGATTACACCGCTCCCTCTCATTGGCTGCTGCCCGGCTGGATGATGCTTCACGCTGCGCCCGGAACAAGATGAGGGGAGCAGCGTGAAGCATGTAGGGCCCAGGACGGGAGGAAGAGGTCCCGGGACTGGTAATCAGCGGTCACCAGTGGCCCCTTTCCTCCTGTCCTGGGCCCCCTCCAAGTGGCCGAACTCCAGGGCCCGGCCGCGACCTCTGCGACCCTGGTAGTTCCGCCACTGGGGGGTATGGTAAAGGGGTGGGTGTTGGGGTTTGTTTTGTCTGTTTTTTGGTTTTTCTTGTATTCTGTGTTGTAATGAATTGCATCTTATTAAAGAAATATAATAAAAATTATGAGATTAAAAAAAAAAAAAAGAAATACTCACCTGAGTGGCTGCTAGACTGGTCCCTGTAGACTGTCTCCCCCTCTACTCAGGCAGCAGTGTATTAGATGTAAGGACATTCCATCCCTGGGGCGTAGGGGGTCAGTCAGGCTGCAGGGAATGTGGTTCGGGTGAGTAAGTCTTTTATTTTAGACCCCAGACCAAAACAGGAATTAACCCCCCAGGAGTTGCCCCACTGCAAGGGATAAGTGTTATTCTTGTTTATGGTACTTTGACTGACGTTTATTCCGTCAACGCTGTACTGAAATGAATTTTATACCATTTTTTGGGACAGATCGAGCTTTATTTTGGTGGTATTTAATCACAGCTAGGGGAAGGGGGGGGGGGGTTATTTTTTACTATATTAAGGAAAATTACCGATTTTTTTTTACATTATTATTATTATACAGGATTTATATAGCGCCAACAGTGTGTGCAGCGCTGTACAATATAAGGAAGGCATTACAATCACAATTACAAAACAAGGAGGTAAGGAGGATCCTGCCCCTGAGAGCTTACAATCTAAAGGGGAGGGGCCAGTGATACATGAGGAGGGAGCTGTGTGGGGATGAATGGTTAGGTTGAGGTGGGATCGGCTTCCCTGAAGAGATGAGTCTTTAGGGATCGCCTAAAGGCAGTCAATGTGGGAGATAGACAGACAGGTTGGGGTAGAGAGTACCAGAGGATGGGAGACACTCTAGAGAAGTCCTGGAGGCGAGTATGGGAGGAGTTGACGAGGGAGCTGGAAAGCAGGAGGTCTTGGGATGAGCGGAGGGGACGGTTAGGGTGATACTTAGAGACAAGGTTGGAGATATAGCCGGGGGCGGAGTTGTGGATGGCTTTATAAGTGGTTGTTAATATTTTGAATTATGTTATAAAACAATTATTATTACACATATTTTTGAGGTAAAATATAAAAGTCGGGGTCACGTCGGGTAAATAGACACCAAACATGTCAAGCTTTAAAATTGCGTGCGCCCGCGAAATCGCAAAAAACTACAATACCCAAAATTGACCATAGGCGACGCTTTAGAAGCTTTTACCGCTCATCAGTTTAGACCCCGTTCACATTGAGCGATTTATCGCGCGGTAATTCCCGCAATGTCGCGGCAAATTACCGCGCGATATCGCGCTCCAATGCAATCCAATGGGGCAAAGGGTCCTGCTGTCGCGGGTCGTGTGTCGCTACAGCAGGACCCTTTTTGGAGCGGATTTAGCCGCGATTCAAGCTTGCTCAATGCAAGCTTGAACGCGACGTCGCGCGATTTGCATATCGCGCAGTGGGAACGGGGGGCCTTAATGTTATCGGTGATTGATGGGCCGAGAATTATTGCTCTCATTCCGACGTTCGCGGCGATATGTAACGTGTGCTGCATAATGGGCGCAATCGTCGTTTTCGCACCCGTCGCATGTTTGCATGCGTGTATGTATCGTTGGGGACTTTAAAAAAAATGTTTACTTTTTTTATTCTTTTTCATGTGTGACTTCTACATTTTTTTTTTGCAACTTTTTTCCACTTAACTTTATTGTTATCACATAGGTGGGTAAGAAAACCCCCTTATGTGATAGCACAGAGGATGGCAGTGGTGTATTCTGGTTTGGGGCTGCCCTAGGCAAGGCAGAATTCAGGCCCCCCCACACACACACACCCACACTAAATTTCCCCCACCCCTTCCTGTTTAATACTTTTTAATACCTGTCAGTCGCTGTATCCAGCTTTTGACATGTTCCGCTATTGGCGTAGCAGGAAAGCTGTGGTCTCAGGGGGGGCTGTGCAAGATCTGTGGTGGGCTCTGCAGGGTATCAGGGGGGCTGTGCAGGGTATCTGTAGTGGGCTTAGGGATCCTGCAAAGCCCACTTCCTCGCGGCAGATACGCCCCTGGTGACAGGTCCTCTTTATGGCGACATCAGGGGTCTCCAAGACCCCTAATGTCACCTAGGGACCCCCAAAGAAGCTGATGAAGCACAGATATGCTTCACCAGCTTCTCTCCAGCGTCTGAAGCTGGAGAGTGACTCAAAGAATGCAGGAAGTGATGTCATATACATCACTTCCGCATTCTGACAGCGGAGAGGGGACAGATATCCTTCCATCATGTCATTTGAAAAGAGTTCCCTTTCAGTATGGAAAAGAGACCGCCCTTCGCTGGTCCCTACCCATGACCCAGAGTGTCTCTCAACCGAACGTTCGGCCCTTCCGTCTCATCCCCGAGAGGCCAGCAAACCCTATGGAGGAGAGGAGAATGGACAGCGGGGGAGCCAGTGATTAACCCTTACCCATGGGAAGAGATAATGCGCTACACACCATGGAAGATCGTGGAAGGGACCTCAGTGGTGGGTTCAATGCGGGGAGCCGTCCTGAATGGCTTCAAATACACAAAAATGGATGGAGAGCGGGGAGCGGGGAGCAGAGGTTAAAAGTAACCCTGACGCTCCGTGGACCCGGGTACAGATACTCAGAGAGGTCATGGGAACAGGGACCTGGGTACAGATACTCAGAGAGGTCATGGGAACAGGGACCCGGGTACAGATACTCAGAGAGGTCATGGGAACAGGGACCCGGGTACTGATACTCAGAGAGGTCATGGGAACAAGGACCCTGGGTACAGATACTCAGAGAGGTCATGGGAACATGTACCTGGGTACTGATACTCAGAGAGGTCATGGGAACAGGGACCCGGGTACAGATACTCAGAGAGGTCATGGGAACAGGGACCTGGGTACAGATACTCAGAGAGGTCATGGGAACAGGGACCTGGGTACAGATACTCAGAGAGGTCATGGGAACATGGACCCGGGTACAGATACTCAGAGAGGTCATGGGAACAGGGACCTGGGTACAGATGCTCAGAGAGGTCATGGGAACAGGGACCTGGGTACAGATGCTCAGAGAGGTCATGGGAACAGGGACCTGGGTACAGATGCTCAGAGAGGTCATGGGAACAGGGACCTGGGTACAGATGCTCAGAGAGGTCATGGGAACAGGGACCTGGGTACAGATGCTCAGAGAGGTCATGGGAACAGGGACCTGGGTACAGATGCTCAGAGAGGTCATGGGAACAGGGACCTGGGTACAGATGCTCAGAGAGGTCATGGGAACAGGGACCTGGGTACAGATGCTCAGAGAGGTCATGGGAACAGGGACCTGGGTACAGATGCTCAGAGAGGTCATGGGAACAGGGACCTGGGTACAGATGCTCAGAGAGGTCATGGGAACAGGGACCTGGGTACAGATGCTCAGAGAGGTCATGGGAACAGGGACCTGGGTACAGATGCTCAGAGAGGTCATGGGAACAGGGACCTGGGTACAGATGCTCAGAGAGGTCATGGGAACAGGGACCTGGGTACAGATGCTC